CTGCTTCTGCTGTTCTTTCTCTTGCTCTTTCTCCTGCCTCTCCCGCTCTTTTTCCTGCTTCTGCCGCTCTTTCTCCTGTTTCTGCCGCTCCTTCTGCCGCCGGGTCTCCTTGCTGGGACCCAGAGGGGTGCTGTTGCCAGTAGGTGAGGGCAGGGAAGGGTGCAGTCCCTCGGCAGTGACCACAGGCCCTGGAGCAGGACCGGTGCTGGCTCTTCGGGCAGGAGGGGGTGGCGACGGGGCCCCTCCAGCTGCCCGGGAGCTTCGGCTTTTAAGGCCAGGGAGACTGAGGAGGCTGGAGGAGGGGCCCAGGGGTGGCTGCTGCCGCCGTCGCTCCTCATGGATGGCCCGGGAGCCATGCAGTCGCCGTGAGGGCCGATACTGCAGTTCGCCCCGGGTTTCCCGCCATTTCTTCAGCTGGGCTGCATTCTCCCGCTCAATCAGGGCTTCTGTCACTGGCAGGTTGGTCACCTAGATGGAGAGGAAATTGGTACCGAGGTACAGAGCAGAGGAATGGGCTGAGGCAGGTGGGGGTGGCCCAAGGTCTACCTACCTCATGCACCAGGAAGTCCTCCTGCATGCACTGCTGGGGGAGGTTGCGCAGCTGCTCCATGGTCTCATACATGCCTTGGCAGGAACGAAGCTTCTCCACGGACCCCAGTGTGTGTCGCAGCAAGACCAGGGCCACCCGGAAGATGATCTTAACACCTGCGAGGGTGGAAAGGAGAGCATGGGGGGATCAAGCCTGAGACCCTAAGCCTATCCCAGTTAGGTGGAGCCCATAGCCCTTGTCCCTATCTACCGCCAACCAAACAGATGAGGAAACAGACCTTAGGAAGACAAATGAGTTACTGTGGGTTTCAGGTTCCTGGGAGGGAGAGAAGGCTCTAGGCTGGTGGCTGAACTAAGACCAGGCCTGTTTTTCCACCTGTGGGTTGCTGGCAGTGAAGCTCTGGCCCAAGAAATACTTCCTGTCCATGGCCACTGCGGACTCCTTGCCCTTGTGGCCCAGGGGCACAGAATACCTTCACAGAAAAACATGTCCCAGACACGTAGCACCGAGGCCCAGGGCAGGGTGCGGGCGAAGATGCACATGAACCACTCCGTCATGTAGAGCACGGGGTCGATACGCTGTCGCCGCAGGTGCCGATGTGCCAGCGGGGATGCCCGGCGCAGCAGTGCGAAGAAGATCTCTCCATCCAGCTGAATGGCCTCCTGTGGTGGGAAGCACCATAAGAGGCCCGGCTGCTGTGGCCCTCGCAGTAGAATCAGCCCTCACAGGGGACCCTCGCCTCCACGGGGAGAGGCCCAGGGCAGAGGGGCCGGGGTGGGGGGCCGGTACTCCCTGCAGCTTCCAGGAGTCAGTCCCAGTGCACTCGTGCCTCTAGACACTCACCAGCCCTGCGCTGTAGTAACCCGGGAGGTATTTGTCACAGATCTGGACCAGGCACCAAAAGGCTTGCTGAGAAGGGCAAGAACAGGAGGGGCGAGGCCTGAGAAGCAGGGAGCAGGCAGCTCCGCATCTCTGCAGGCCAGGGTCCTCCCACCTCCTCACCCACCCAGGACCGTGTGCTGACCTCAGCAGGCATGTGCATGAGCAGCACTGCAGCCACGGGGGCCTGAGCCTGGCAGTAGCCCTCATCAGGCCGGTAGATGGTGTAGGCCTTCAGGATTCGGTACAGGTCCTGCTGCCTGTGGGGATTACAGAGTTGGGAGTGTGCCACCTCACACCAAATCCACCCCCACAAGCCCAGCCCAGGCCTCGCCTACATCCAGTTCTGAATTAACCCAAGTTTCACCACCACACTCCTCCGTCCATCTTCACAGTCCTGCTTCAAGCTTAAACCAAAGGCTCAGGGCACAATGAAAGCATCAAAGGCCTAGCCTCCAAGCCATTCCCTAGCACAGGCCACACCCTTTCCAGCCTTCACCTGCCATCCCATAAACGTTCAAGGTCATTTTCTCTAAGGAGCTTTCCCCATCTTGAACACTGAACATTACTGCCCCAGAGCAGGGCTCTCCAGGGCAGGGCCTGCCTTATGGGTCTCACTAGATCTCATCAGCCCTGACCGCCACTCCAGTGGGTCCAGGATCAGCCCCACCGCACCTTTCCCTCATCTCTGCCTCCAATCTCTGCCCCAAACCTGCTCTTCTTCCTGCTACTGCTTCCTTGTATCTAGGGGTTCCATCCACTCGGCCCTACATCAGAAAAAGTCTCCCTCATTTCCCGGGGCTGATCCGGTGCATCCTGAATTCCATTCATGTCTGTTCTCTCTCCACCTCCACAGCCACTTCCAGCTCTCACCTCCACCTCTTGCCCAGAAAAACGTAATAACCGCCCAGATCCTCTGCCTGCCTCCAGTCTCACACATATTCCTAACACCGCCTGTAACAGTTTTGCCCCAATCCAATCAAGTGTGGTCATTTGTGTTTTATCTGTATACAACCCCTACTATTATTTCCATAATATTTTTTCTCCACTTTGCAAAAGCATCCTTCAAATGACAGGTTTTTGTTGTGTTTTTTTTGGTACCAGGGATCCAACTCAGGACCTTGTGCTTTTGAGGCAGGCGGCAGAACCACTGAGCTAAATCCCTGGCCCTAAATGACAGGTTTGATATGCTGGTTATTTTACCTAGTACCTTTAAAATAAACATGTAACTTCCACAAGCTCCCATACTACGGCCACTTGCCTGCCTGCATCGTGACCTGCCTTGTCTGTTACTATGGGCGAACCGTCCGAGACCCTGGCAAAGTGGAATTGAGTCCCATGACCACTCGCTAACACAGGTCAGCAACCCAGCAGTCCTGCCTGCCTTCCTGCTCCATCTGCTTTTCTTTCTCTACCAGATCGTTCCCATCAGCACACCAATAACATGCTGTTAATTCTTCTGGTTTAAAAAAAATGTCCCTCGACCCCACACTCTTTTTTTTTTGTACCAGGGATTGAACTCGGGCCCTTTTGCTTTTGAGGCAGGCGCCAGAACCACTGAGCTAAATCCCCGGCCTCCACACTGTTTCTTTTCCTTACCTAATCAGCGAAACAACCCCAAGTAAGCACTTGCTGTCTTAAACAACCTCGTCCCATTCTCTAAGCAGGCTTTTACCCATGCTACACTCCGGTGAAACTGCTGTGTCAATCACTGCTGCCCTTCGCGGGGAAACAGAGGACAATCTCCAGGCCCCTGTACCTGACCCGCACCCTCGATTCCCACCACTGAACTCTGACACCCTTCACCTCGCTCCCAGGACCACTCTCCCTGGGCTTCCTGGACTGCACTAGTGTGTTCCCATCTCCTCCATCAGCTCCTTCTCAGCTTCAGAGTTCCAGGGCTCAATTCTTGGTATCTACACTTGCTGTCTTGGGGAGCTTATCCAGTCCCATGGGTCAAGTCCCTCCATTAAACTTCTGCCCTGAAATTCAGATTTGTGTATAAGGTGCACCCCACATCTCCATCTGGGTGTCCAAAAAGCAATTTATTTTTTTCTTTTTGTTGTTATTGAGACAGAGTTTTGCTATGTAATTCAGGCTGGCCTTGAACTCACTATGTAGACCAGGCAGACCTCAAACTCAAGGTGATCCTCCCCTGCCTCAGCCTCCCAAGAGCTGGAATTGCAAGCATGCGCCACCACACCTGGCCTTAAATTTAGACCGAGCTCTTGATATGCTCCCCAAGACTACCTTTCCCCCAGTCTTCCCCATCCATATCACTAAATAGCAACTCCATTCTTCTAGTTTCTCAGGTCAAAAACTTTGAGTCACCTCTAATTCTTTTTTCACACTTCCCATCTAATCCAAACTTTACCTTTAAAGAGATGGATCCAACTTCTTCTCATACTTCCACTACTACACCATCTTATCTGTCATCACCTCTCCTTGATTTTAGTCTTTTAACTTCTCTGGTTCTTCCCTTTTCTCCCTGTAGCCTGTTTCAACACACCAGGCAGAATAACCCTCTTGAGACATTAAGTCAAGCCAGGCATGGTGGCACATGCCTATGATCCCAGCACTCTGGGAGGCCGACAGGAAGATCACAAACTCGAGCCCAGCTCAGTGTGAAGGCCCTGGGTTCAATGCCCCATACCACAGAGGGGAAACACACACACACACACACACACACACACACACACACACACGAGTCAGATCTGATCACTTATAACCCATCCCATCTCTACTCATATTCTCTATTCTCTTTTCTTGCTTTAAATTCTTCTTTAATACTCACCACCATTTCACACACTAGATACTTTCCTTCTTTATCTGATGTATTACCTGGCCTCACTGAATTAGAATAAACCCCATGAGGACAGGAGTTTCTGTCTTTGTTCACCACTGACGTCTACACTATGCCTGTCGGATAGCAGGTACTCAATAAATATTTGTTTAAAAATGAACCTACTGGGCCGGGGATTTAGCTCAGTGGTTCCGCCGCCTGCCTTGCAAGCGGGAAGTCCTGAGTTTGATCCCCGGTACCAAAAAATAAAAAAATAAAAATGAACGTATCACTGAGAAGGAGAATCACAAGTTTGAGGCCAGCCTGGGCAACTCAGCAAGACGCTATGCCAAAGTAAGTTCAAAGGGCTGGGTAAGTACCTCAGTGGGGGCAGAGCACTTGCCAAGCATGGGAGGCCCAGATTCAGTCCCTAGTCCTGAAGAGAAACAAAGTCCACCTGAACCCCCAGGACCACCTTGCACGCTGCTAGGGAGCAGTGCACACCGCACATCTTGAGGAAACTCACCTGCACAACAGAAATCCAAGTGCCTGGCACAGCATTTAAGAACTCAGCTCCTGATATTCTGGTCCTAAAACTTCCTCTCTGGCTTCAGCTCTGGCCAGTCTCACTGCCCAGACACCACTTCTACAACTGCCCAAGCAGGAAAACCCTGCCCAGCTCCTATCTGTTCTTCAGGCACCAGCTGAAATACAGCCTCTTCATGAACCTCTGATGTGCACATGCAGAAAACCAGATTCAAGCCTCCCTCCCAGGACGCTCAGTCCATTAAAGATCACTCTTCTGCCAGGAATAGTAGTGCACACCTATAATGTCAGCACTTGGAAGGCTGAGGCAGGAGGATCACTGTGAGTTCAAAGGTAGCCTTGAACATACCAAGTTCAAGGCCAGCTTGAACTACACAGCAAGACCTTGTCTCAAAAACCCAAAAGAGGCCGGGGATTTAGCTCAGTGGTTTTGCCGCCTGCTGTGCAAGCGCAAGGACCCGAGTTCGATCCCTGGTACCAAAAAAAAAACCAAAAGAGAGGGCCAGGGATTTAGCTCAGTGGCACCACCATGCCTGCCTCTCAAACTCAAGGTCTGCAGTTTGATCCCTGGTACCAAAAACATGGAAGAAAAAAACCCCACTCTTCTATAGGTCCTGGAGGGCAAGAACTGCTCTCAAACTAGCCTTATATCTACCTGGAACCTTCAAGAAACCTGACTCACAGTCAGGCCACCTTACCCATGCCCTCCTCGAGCAGCAAACATCTCATGGAAAGGGAACTGGCGGTGCAGGTCCTTCTCGATCACATCTAGCCACTTGGGGTCCCCAGGAGCCCGTTCCAGCTCCTGCAGGGGGACAGCAGGAATTATCTCAGGATCTGAAGGAACTGACATCCCTTATATCGATTGGCAAGGCCACAAGTCCCCCCAGCCCGGAATGTCACGCACCTCAAACCTGCCAGGATTTTGCTCCAGAAGCTCCTTGCTATTAGACAGGTACTGCCAGGCCTTGGCTCTGAGGGATGAGGGGATGCCCTTCCGACAGCGCAGCTTCACCTAAGGGACAGTGGCGGCAGCAGGCAGCATCAGGCCTGGCACCCCTCCAGGCTTTCCCCAGCTTCCCTGGCTTCCCTGGGCTGCTCTTTCCACATGCCACACTGGACTCCACTGGACTGGGACCTGGGACCACCCATCCCCAACATGCTCCAGAGGGAAGATCACATCCATCTGTCTCCTGGGCCTCCCTGGCAACATATACCTCCCTCCACCCTCGCACACTGCCCAGTCTGCTGCCCTCTCAAACCTTCTGAAAACGTCGTGACAGCCACTTATCCCAGTTATTGAACATCTCCAGCCACTTGAGCTCCCGCTGTCGAGCCACATCCACCGGAATAGAGCTCTCTCTGCAGGATGGGGGAGCACGGAAAGGGTCAAGAGCAGCAGCACAAAAGCTGGGAGCTGAGGTCCAGAGATTTAGCTCAGTAGTTTCGCTGCCTGCTGCGCAAGCACAAGGACCTGAGTTTGATCCCCGGTACCAAAAAAAAACAACCTGGGAGCTGAGCAAGATATCGTCCCAGGCTCAAAGGACAAAGTGGACATTTTATGAGTTTCCAAACATCAGAATGTCTGCCCTTGGCCCAGGCTCTTTTCGGCTCTATTCACCACCCTGAAAAGGCTTCCTTCCCTGTTGGGTCTCTAAATAGAGGCCATGTTCAAGTCCCACTTCTGATGCTGACGAATCCAAATCTGGGGGTTTTTGGTTTTGAGACAAGGTCTTGCTACACACTTCAGGCTGGCATACCACTCACGGGATCCTCCTGCCTCACCTTCGCCAGTGCTGGGATTATAGGGGTGTGCACCATACCTGGCTGACACATCCAAATTTGGGAAGCAAGTACAGAATATTTAAAAGCCATATTTTTGTCAAGCATGGTGGTGCACGTCTATAATCCCAGCACTCAGGAGGCTGAGGCAGGAGGATTGTCAGAAGTTCAAGGCCATGGGCCAGGGATTTACCTCAGTGGTTCAGCGCCTGCCCTCGAAAGCGCGCAAGGTCCCGAGTTCAATCCCCAGTACCAAAAATAAATAAATAAGAAGTTCAAGGCCAGCTTGGGCTCTATGGTGAGTTCAAGGCCAGCCTAGACTACACAGAAAAACTGTCTCAAAAAAGAGCCACATTTTGCACTAGACCTGTGTCCAAGTCCTAGCTTAACCATGTATTCACTGCCTGACTTTGGACAAGTCACTTAATTTTGCTAAGCCTCAATTTCCTTGTTTGTAAGGTGGAAAAAAATGGCAATGTCTACTTGAACACATATGTCAAGGAGTTATATAAAAAACACATAGAAGGGGCTCACTAAATAATAGCAAGTATTATCCATCAAATAAAATACAGAACAAATGTACTTGTCTGTTTCCTTAGGAGCAACTGAGATACTGTGGGCCATCTGGGATTTCTTCTACCACTTCCTCCCTGAACTCTCCCCACATTTGCAGGAAAAGAAGTTCCCCTTGCCCTGTTTGCCCACCATTCTGTCAGAGGTTCACACTCCAGGGTGCCCATCTGTCTCAAAACAGTTACTTGAAGGAGCTAGCACCAGGAAGCACGTAAAATGGAAGAGCTTGGGTTTAGAAATCAGAAAGATCTAAGCTCAAATCCCTGTTATGTCCCTTAAAAGCTGGGGTATCTTAGCAAGTGTGACTTTGAGTCTCTGCCTCACCTATAAGATGGGATAACACCACCCACAAAGTTATGAGGACTTTCGAGAAAATGTATATAAAGGGCTGTTAAATAGAAGGGATTCATTAAATGTCTAGTTTCTTTTGTCTTAAAAGCTCTTTGAAGAGAGAAGCCATCTCTCATTAATCTCTATCATAAGTCAGCTCCAAATTCTACTAACGGCTGAGAAGGCTAAGATTCCTCTCCCACTCTCAAATATGTCACAGCCTATGACGGGAGGTAACTGCAGCCTGGCACAGGAAATCCAATGACAAAGATGCACAGAAGTCTGGGCAAGGTGGCACACGCCCTTAATTCCAGCACTTGAGAGGCTGAGGTAGGAGGATTCTCACGAATTCAAGGCCAACCTAGGCCACACAGTGAGTTCAAGCTCAGCATGAACTATATAGGGGAGTGATGGCAAACCTTTTAGAGCTTTCAATGATAACTGCCACACACATGCCACAGGTTCACCACCACTGATACAGGGAGACTCTTGTCTCAAAAAAAAGAAAAAAAAAAAGCCGGGGATTTAGCTCAGTGGTTCCAGTGACTGCCTTGTAACCGCAAGGACCCAAGTTCGATCCCCGGTACCAAAAAAAAAAAAAAGACGCACATGAGAGGCATATTACTGGAGTGGAGGCAGAGGGGGTCAGAGAAGGCTTCCCGGAAGAGGGGATATTACAGGTAAAACATAAGGACAGAGCAGAAATTAGCAGGCAAAGAAGAGGGAGAAGTGCACTCCTGGCAGGTGGAACAGGCCTCAATAGGAAAGGACAGCAACTACGAGTTCAGCAGGAGAGCAGCACAGAGTGTCTGGCAACAAGTGGCAGGAAATGAGACCAGAGAGGCTGGCAGAGCTGGACAATAAGGACCCTGTGCACAGGCCAATGCGCTTGGACTTTACCCTGTAGACAGCAGGGAGTTGCAAAAAGTCACGGTCAGCCTTGCCGAAAAAGCAGATGCCTCTGGGATGGAAGACAGATTTTAGCGACAAAATTACAAAGTAGAGAAAGAGCACCCAGTACAGCGCCTGAGCACACGAGAAGGACTCTAAATTCTTAGGGCAGTCTGGTACTGAGGAAAAAGCTATTGGCCATACAGATCCAGATTATTTGAGGGAGGCAATTCACTCAACTCTTTCTTCATCTATAAACTGAGGACAACATAACACGAGAAAGCCCCAGGAAGGCACCTGGGTCAAAGTGGGGTTCCTTCCCCACATCAGACCATGAATGCTGGTGCTCAATCAAGTTCTCTGAGCAGGGCATGGCTGCACACACTGGTAAGCCTGGCACTCTGGGAGGCTGAGGCAGAAGGATCCCAAGCTCCAGCCTAGGCTGGGCAAGACACTGTCTCAAAAAATTAAAAAGGACTGCTGATGTAGCTCAGTGTGAAATCCCTGGGTTCAATCCCCAGTACCACAAGAATAAAAGTTTTCTGTTTCTTGTTAGCTTACAAACTCTGCGTGTAATACCCTCCCACAGGCCTGCCCCTCATCCCAAATACACAGCCATGACTAAACCCCATTCATTTTTCAAAGTTTAGATCAACTTCAGCTGCACTGCCACACAGGATAATGGTCCCTTTCCAGGTCCTCACAAAGCCCTGTGATGATCTCCAAGCTTAATCAATGCTGCACTAACACCAGCTGTGAAGTATCCATGTCTCCCTCCAGAGGAACTGCTTGAAGGATTACTTTCCCCTTATCAGGCATGCAGGCCTGGCACCGGTGTGCTCAGGCAATGCTGCACTGACTAGCAGGTTAAGGGGGCACAGGAAATGGCCAGGATCCAGAGAGGGAAGGAAAAAGGCAGAGGTGATCACACCCCACCTCAGCAGTGACTCAGGCCCTGGAGGGAACTAGGAAAGAGTAAGCTGGGCTGGGAGACAAGGAGATGGGGAAGCAGCCTCCCATCCCCTTTCCTCCAGTGAAAACTCAAGACTGCCTGTCTTTCACGGAGGGGACCTGCTTTGAGGCCTCCCCTGCATCACCAGACCTGTCCACTGTACCACTCCCTCGGACCTACCACTGTGCCAGGAAAGGTGCCAGCCCCTCTCCCAGACTCTGCCCCTTAAAGGCTCTCCCAAAACCCCTGCCCAATCAACCTGCCAGAATTCTTGGTCTGTAGCTGGAGTTTAATATATCGGGAGTTGAGATAACCTTAGGTATCATCTCATTCAACCCTTTACGGGGGAAGAAACTGAGGCACAAAAATGGGGACACCACTAGCTCAAGGACACACAGTGCACCAAAGGCAAGGTCTTAGGCTTACACCCAGATGTCCTGATCCCTGGCCCCAAACTCTCACAGAAACCCCAGCATGCTCCAGGCCACCGCTCCCACTACTCACCCCGGGACCCTGGAAGGTGGCCGGGCAGGTAAGGCGGCCAGGTGCACCCTTCCCCTCCCCCGGCCTCACTCGGCCCCGGGTACTCACAGGCTGCCCGAGTACTGGCTGCCCCCCAGGAAGCCGTACTTGTCCGTCTTGCGCAGGGCCAGCCCGTTTATCTCCGAGTCTGAGCCCATGGAGCTCACATCGTCCGCCAACGACTCCAAGGTTCCAGACATGAGGCTCACGGAGTCCAAGTAGCTCAGGGTGTCTGGGGCCTGCCCGCGAGGCCCGGAGATGCCAGGTCCCAGGCTGGACGTGGAGCCCAGGTCTTGGGAGTTCTCAGCAGGCTCCGGGGCTGGGGTCACCGTCACTACAGCTACGGGAGCCTCACTCATCCCTGAAGCTCCCGTGCCAGGCCCCGCGGGGTCCTCGGGCGCCTGTGCCGCGGATGGCGAGGAGGCCGTGGCAGCTCCGTGTCCGCCTGTCACCTGTCCTGCTGCAGCCCGGGCAGTGACTCCCGAGGCCGCCGTGGCCCCCGGCTTGGGGGCGAGCGGGGGTTTGGCGGCCAGGGCCCCAGGCACCGTTCTGGAAGGGGTCCTGGTGGGGGTCCCGGCCGTGCCAGGCCCCGGGGCTGGGGAGGTTCGCGCCCCCTCGGTCTTCACAGACTCTGCCCGTGAGGCCACCGCAGCCGGAGCGAGAGGCTCCGGGCCAGGGGCGACCTGCGTCGTCGGGGCTTCGGACGAGGTGTCCAGGGACGTCAAGTCGGTGTCGCCCGTGACGGCCGGGCCCGGGGCCAAGGTCTGGACCGGCCCCGAACCCAAGGCCGCCCGCGCCTCCCCCGGGGCTGCCAGGGTGACGGGGGTCGAGATGGCCGTGGTCACCGGCGGTCCTGGAGCCACCACCACCATGGGCCCGGCCCGGGAACTCCGGGGGGGCGGCGACGGGGCCGCAGGGGCGCCATGACGGCGTGGCGGGGCCACCAGGGGCGCCGGGCCCGTCTCCATGGCCGCGGACGGCTCCTTACATCCCCCTGCCGGGAGGCCGCAAAAGGCACCGCCCCTCAGGCGCTCAGAGCCGCGCGCGGAAGGGGAGAGGGCGAAGGGCGCGGCTCTGCAGGCGCCGGGGGCGGGGCGGGACGGGGCGGCGCGGGCGGGGGGGGGAGCGGTGCAAGGGCGGCCGCTGGCCTGGGTCGCTGCGCCTCGCGCCGGGGTCTCGCTGGCGCCTCTCACTCTCTCCCTCCCGCTTACGGCGAGCTGCGGACGTCGCGCCTGCGCACACGCAACGGAGCAGCGGAGAGGCCCGCGTCTCGCCGTTCTGCGCCTGCGCGAGGCCTGGCTCGTCGCGCCCCTTTTTTTCTCCCGCCTTATCTGAGGATTTGGACGAGTAATAGGAGAGAGGGAACTAGGTTCCTGCCAATCGAAGGAAGGGTGGGAGGGGCTGGCGGCGGGAGGGGTGGGTCATTTGGAAAGAGGAAACAGAGAAGGCGGAGGGCTATGAGACCAATCAGCGGGTGAGTGAGGGCAGAAGGCGGGACAAGGGAGGTAACTAATAAAGAAGCGGGAGCCTGAACTTCCTGTCCAATGAGTACAGCTGAAGAGTAAATGACAGCGGAAGGGCGGGGAAGAAGACAGGTACTGTGTAGTAGAAGGCGGGGCCTTGCAGCCTCCTGGCCAATAGAAACGCTAGAAAAGGAACCAATGAGAAAGGGAGTAGGCGAGCAGTGACAGACAATATCTATAGTCAATAGAAAGAGCGAAGGAATTCTTGGATCTCCCAAGATGGTTAGAAGGAATGACAGCTGGGGGAAGCGGGCCAAATTTGCGATTAATTTGCCTAGTCAGCCAATGATTGCTTTCTTCCTCTTTGGCACCAGGGTAGAAAGATAGCTAGCCGTCTCCACCAATGGTAGCAATCAGGAGTAGGGATGCTGCCAGCAGGCGGGGTCAGCCCAGGGATAGTCGGTGACAACCGGAGACAAGCACGAGGAGGGGATGACAGTTGGTGAGAGCGCAGGAGGAGCTGTGGACCTTGAGCTGTGCCCTGGTCCTATACTGTCGACCTCACTCTGCAATCCCACCCTACTCAGAGCCTCCAAATCCTCTAAGTTACCCATCTCCCTTGATCTGCCATTTCCTGCAGGAATTTCAAGCCCCAAATCTTCTCCTCACCACCCCCCATCTATCTAAGCTCCTCTCCAGAACCCAAACTCCAGTTCCACAGACCTCGTGCCTCCACGTGCTCCCCTTTGGTGGGAAATCCCAAAACCCAAACCCATGAGTCACTAATACCATGAACTCCCCCTCTTATTCTTTGAGGGACCAGAGACCCTAGCCCTATCAGTGCCTCTCCCCTCATTGCCACGTCTCTCTGTGCTGCTCATTCTCTTAAGAACCTAGACCTCACTCTCATGAGCCTCCAACTTGTCCTTACTGCACAAACATGAAGACCTGATCTTATGATCCCCAACCTTCCAGCTTCTAAAGGTCCCCCTCTGACCCCCATTCTCCTGAGCCCCAGGGTTAGAGGGTTCTGACTTCCATACAGCATTGCCATCCTGAAATTTCAGTCTGACCTAGCTTGCAGCTTCCAGCTCCTCCTTGGTTTCTGAGTTCTCTGAGAGTCTTCACTCCCAACTCAGACCACACCCTATGAATGCCCACAGTGTCTGATCTCCTTCTCCACTTTCCACCTGACTCAAGCTTCCTGAACACACCTCCATCCCCCCTTTTGGAGTCCTTTTCCCCTCCCAGAATCCAGTAATGAGTGGGCTCCTCCCTGGCCTGGACCCCCACAGTAACCATATAAGGTAAGGCAGCTGCCATCTGAGGCAGGGAGGGCCAGTGCAGGAGGCCAAGGCAGCTGCTAAGTTTAGGGTGGCTCCTTCACCCTTCTTAGAGACAACAGGTGGCTGGGCCCCAGTGCCCAGAAAAGAAAATGTCTTAGAGGCATTGGCATGGAGCTGGAGGAGGGGGAAGGGAGGAGGCACCTTTCTCAGGACATCAGGTCCTAGAGGAGCAGGAAGAGGAGATGGGTGTCCTTGCTCACTTGGGGCTTCCACTGCATGGAGGGCACTGGAGCACTGAGGCCCAGAGGCTTAGAAGGGGGTGCCTCAAAGTCACACAATCAGCTAAACTAGTTCTTTCCCAGAATGAAGAGAGAGGCTATCACAGCCACGAGGGAAGAGGTGCCATCTAGCTGCCTCTTGGTGTCTGCCTTGCCTCCCTAGGGCCCAGCTTCCACACCAGCACGCAGGAAACAATCTAGACTGACACTAGGTCATGCCTTTCTCCTGCTTTAAACCTTTTCAAGCTCCCTGGGTCTCCACCTTCCACCCTCAGTGTCTGGTTACCAGCACCTTGCATCCTCTGCTTCAGCTGCACAATTCTGGCAACCTGGACACATGATCTTTCTCTGTCCAAGCCTTTGCCCACGTATGCATGCTCTTGGTCTAAGGCTAGATCCTAGCCTCTCCACCTTCACCCGACTTGCTCCCACTGGCCTTCTCTAGGCCAAGCCTATACCCTGCACAGGGCTGCTGAGCCCTCTACTTCTGGGCTCCTGACCAGCTGATACATCATTTCAGCATTTATTCCTGTCTCTACCCCTGGACTATAAGTTCCACCAAGGGGGGGCCTGATTGTTAATTCTAATGCAAGTTCTGTGGGATAAAGATTATTTCCAGAAGCAAGGCTCAGGGGTTAAAGTAGAAAGGGTGAGACCATAGAGCTATCTTTCCTCACCCCCCTCCTTGAAGGGGTATAGGAGTCCCTGATCCTCCAGCTTCCACAGGTGGCTTTCTCCCATCTTTAGGCTCTGCCACCACGGAGACACACACTCTTGACTATGAATGCCACCAAGGGGGCGGTTGTGTGCAGGGACTGTGTTTGTCAGAGTGCACCCACAGAGCTATGCACACTGCCTGACACACTAGGTGCTCAATAAATGCCTCTGGGTGCAGATTCAATCTCAATCTCAATCTCTCTCTCTCCCTCTCTCTCTCTCGGCTTAGGCTCCCTCAGACCTCTGGCACACACTTCAGACACACTTCTCCCCTTTTGGGAGAAAGAACATCTTTTCCTGCCTAGGTCCTAAGGAGACAAGCGTCCCGAGACCCACTCCCTCCTCCTCCCTGGGCTCCAGCTGCTGTGGGGCTCCAAGAAAGGAGAGGCCCCGAGCTGGGCTATTTTGGTATCTGGGGTGGGCACCCGAGGGCTAAGGTTACCCTGGTATGTTACAGGCTCCCTGGGGCAGGGCTATATAACCCCAGAGGGCTGCACCAGGCTGACTCTACTTCTCTCCAGCCAGAGCCACTGCCTTGCTCCAGGAGACCTCAGACATGGTGAGTGAGAATCCCCACCCCAGAGCCAAATCCCTTAGCTTTGGGGAGCCTCACCCTGTGAAAGAAAGTAGCTGTTTCCCAGTCCACTGACTGGGAAAAAGATGACTCCTGACTGTTTTGATGTCACTAGAGGGAAACAGCAACAGCTTAAAGGATGCAAGGATAATTTGCCGACACTCCACTCACAGGCTCTGGTCCCCCTCAGCCTGCATGCATCCCTTCCCTAGCGTCCTCTGAGACCAGCCACAGGACCCCACCCCTTCTCTAAAGGAAAAAGTAGAGATTTAGACAGCTGAAGTGAGTGGACTGGAGTCACACAGGAAGCCAGCCTGGGGCTCCAAGGAGCAGGCTAAGGTGTGGAAAGGGAAGGATGGAGACAGGGTAGGAGATGGACGTTTGGAGGATGCAACCAAAACAGTCCCTTCAAGAGATGCTTGAGAGGTCCCAAGGAGGGCGGGAGTCATTTTACAGAAAGGGATTCAAAGGGCTCTGTATCCGGCTGGGTGCCGAGGCTCAGGCCGAGTCCCTGCTACTTGAAAGACCAAGGTGAGGGATCACTTAAACCCAGGAGCTCAAGATCAGCCTGGGAAACACAGCGAGACCCTGTCTCAAAAAACCAGACAAAAACAGAGAACCCGGGTCTGACTGACCACCTCCTGAGAGGGGTGCGGCCGGCCCAAGCAGCTCTCCGCCTTGCTCCCCAGGCACCCAAAAAGGCCAAGAGGAGGGCAGCAGCAGAAGGTGGCAGCTCCAACGTCTTCTCCATGTTCGACCAGACTCAGATCCAGGAGTTCAAGGAGGTGAGTGAGGGCCGGAGCGGCTGAGCCAAGGCAGCCCCCTTCCACCCCACCACGGCCCTGGAACGCGCACCTGCTGGGGCAGGGTTTAGAATCCCTTCCTCCCCTTTCTGCTGGGGTGGAAGAGGACAGCTGGCCTGGGCCCAGAGTCGATCTCCCTGGGGTGGGGATCTGGAAGAGGTCACCCGGGAGGGAGGGCGGTGGGGACCTCCCCCTCCCCTGGCGCTGTCCCACAGGCTTTCACAGTGATAGACCAGAACCGCGATGGTATTATTGACAAGGAGGATCTTCGGGACACCTTCGCAGCCATGGGTGAGTCCTGTGTGAGGCTGCGTGCCAATGGGGTGAGGGTGGGTTCAGTTCCACCCTGTCCCACCTGAAAAGTGGATCGGATACTCTAAATTGGGGAAGCAGAGCCTTTGCCCCAGGACTCAGCTCCACTGCTCCACTCCCCCCAGGCCGCCTGAACGTGAAGAACGAGGAGCTGGAAGCCATGATGAAGGAAGCCAGTGGTCCCATCAACTTCACCGTCTTCCTGACCATGTTCGGGGAGAAGCTCAAAGGTGAGTAGGGTGCTCTTCGGCCCTCCCAGACTGCTGGGAGCTCGGCACTCGGTGCCCTCTGACCCGCAGGTGCCGACCCCGAGGACGTGATCACCGGAGCTTTCAAGGTCCTGGACCCAGAGGGCAAGGGCACCATCAAGAAGCAGTTGTAAGTGGCCCCCGGCTGCTCCCACGCAGGAAGCTCACTTGGCCCCTGCGCTGCTAGCACTGCCCGTAGGGTCACCCCTGGGAGGACCTGGGGCGGCCGAGAGGAGGGAGAGGCGTGCGCAGGAGTCTGGGCCTCTCAAGCGCCTGACTCTCCGCAGCCTGGAGGAGCTGCTCACCACGCAGTGTGATCGCTTCACCCCGGAGGAGGTAAATGGGGAGGCCTGGGAGCGAGGCGGGACGGGAGCGCGGCGGGATGGGAGCGCAGGCGCTGCTCTCAGCCGCCTGCGTCCCCAGATCAAGAACATGTGGGCAGCCTTCCCCCCGGATGTGGGCGGCAACGTGGACTACAAGAACATCTGCTACGTCATCACGCACGGTGACGCCAAGGACCAGGAGTAGAGGCCCCTCTCGGCCTCTGGCTGCCAACAACCCCAGCTTCCACCCCCGACTCCCAATAAAATTCGACTGGTCTTGTTTCTTATTGGTGACGCCTTAAGTATGATATTTTTTTTCTATACTGGGGATCGAACCCGGGCTTCACACTGAACTACATCCCCACGTTTCTTTCTTTATTTTTGTCTTTTGAGACAGGCTCTCGCTATGTAGTTCAGGCCGGCCTCGAACTCACTATGTAGCCCAGGCTGGCGTCGAACTCGTGGCGATCCTCCTGCCTCAGCCTCTTACAGGCGTGCGCCACCTTCAGATGTGAGGGGACTCAGGTGTAAGGCTGGGCCGCAGCAATGCCCAACAGGCAGGGAGGGCCGGCCGAGTAGGAGTACTGACCTCACAACCCGAGAGAGGCGGCTCCACCGCCCGGAAGGAGGCACGCGGCCGGCGGGAAGCTGTTTTGATTGATGAGACGAGGGGCGGGGCGGCGATCCTGCTCACTGCGCATCCGCATCCTCGCCAGCACCTCCTGCACGCGGCGCAGCTGTGGGGGGAGCGCGGGCTCCGGGCGAGGGGACGCGAGGGGACGCGAGGGGACGCGAGGGGACGCGAGCGCCGCTCACCTCCTCGTCCTTCTCACGGATCAGCTTCGCCTCGGCCAGGGGCATTGCGGGCAGCGGGCTCTCGGTGGCGCTCTGGCGGGCGAGCTTGCTGGGGAGCGGGGGAGCGGGAATCGGGGTGAGGGCCTGGGCGAGCTGGGAATCGAAGGGCCCAGCCTCGTCCGCAGGGGAAGCCCGGAGACCCAGGGCTCACGCCTGTCACCCAGCATTCTGGGGGCCGAGGCAGGAGGGTCTCGAGTGCGAGTCCCTCCTGGGCAAGTTAGTGAGACCTTGCCTCGATGTAAGAAGGGCTGTTTTTCGTGGCGGGCGAAGGGCCCCCCCCCACCCCGCTCAGTCCCCACCCGGGCGTGGGCGCTGAGGTCTGGGTGGGGCGCGAAGTCGCGGGCGGGCGGCTGGCCTGGAAGGCCAGCTCCGGAGGGCCTCGGAAGCTCGGAAGCTCCGGAGCAGCGGCCGCGGCCCTCACCTGCGGCTGGGGCGGTCCCGCGCCCCGGGGCGGGCCAGGCTCTGCAGGCAGCGGGTCCAGTAGCCTTCGCAGAGCAGCTCGTGCGTCACCTCCTTCAAGTCGTGCCCTGGGTGTCTGCACCAGCGTGCACCTCGGGGCCAAGAAGTCGCATTGGTGCGGGTTCTGCACTAGGGGGCGGGCGGCGGGGAGCTCGGTCTGTCCGCCCGGAGCCCTGGGCTGTGCTCGCCAGCCAGGCTGCCCGAGGTCCCGCAGTGTACACCCCAAGAGCCCCTCTTTTGGCTGCAGGCAATCCCCAAGCCGAGAGCCCACCCAGGCTTCACTGCTGAGCGCAGCCTGGCTCCCCGCGCCTGGCCTTACCCTCCACGGTGCCCCAGGGGTAGTAGTGTCCCCTCACTGGCCTCTTCCCACCGTCCCTCACCACCTCGCAGGAGCCCACGACTGCGAAAGGGACGCTCCCCTAGGGGCAGGGAGCAGGGGTCACACTGGCCCTGGCGCAGAAACCTGTCAACTCGCCCCGCCCCTGCCTCACACCTTCATCTCGGCATCCTGCCGCTTGAACTGTTCATCCTCATCCGGAGTCACATTCTGGGAACTGGTAGACGTTGATCTCCTCCTCCTTCAACTGGTCCCGGATCTCAGAGGGGACACATGCGGAGAGAGGGAAAAACAGCACACACCTGTGATCTCAGCACTCCGGGAGGGTGAAGCAGGAGGATCTCAAGTTCAAGTCCCTGTCTCAAACTTAGCAAGCGAGACCTTGTCTCAAAATAAAGTCTAGGAAGGTAGCTCAGTGTGAAGGCCCTGGGTTCAATCCCAGTACTGCCAAAAAAGGCCAAAGCCACAGACATGCAGAGGGCAGCATGGGCGAGACAGGTGGGCGGGCAGAGCAACCAGAAGACACAGATGTGAGAAACCAGGGAGTGTCTCAGATGGGACAGGCGTAAAGAGACCCGGAGAGACAGAAGCAAAGCAAGAGGAGAGGGCCTCAGAGGTGCTGGGGTGGGCTTCTCAGCACCATGGGGACAGAGGGGGCCAGGCCTCAGAGCATCGAAGCATTTGCCCTGGGTCAGATGTCCATCCTGTTCTCTTTTTGTTGTTTTTTGTTTTTTTGGAAAGGGTCTCACTATGTAGTTTGGGCTGGCCTGGAATTTGAGGTGATCCTCCCTCCTCAGCCTCCTGAGTGCTGGGATAACAGGCGTGCACCACCTCACCTGACATATCCATCCTGTTCTACGCCTTTAGGGACATGGCTACTTTTGGCAGCTTCCTGCCTACCTTCCTCAGAAACTTTCTTCAGGCTAGCCTGACACTTCACACTCTAAAAAGGCCACCCCAAAACCTGGACTTGGTAGCACATGCTGTAATCCCAGCAACCCAGAGGCTGAGGCAGGAGGACTGAAGGTTCAGGCTAGCCTGGACTGCACAGCAAAAAAATAAAAAGCCACTCCAGGATGGAAGAAGTCAAAGCTGAGGCTGGCCTGGTCTCGACTTTAGGGTTCATTAGGGCCAAGGTCAGAGGTCACCGCCACACCATCTGCTTGAGAGCCTGGGTTTCCTTGGGTGTCAGGGCGTCTGCTTTGCCGACTATGGGGATGAGGTTGACTTTCTCATGCACGGCCCGGAGGAAGGCCACGTCCACCAGGGGTTGGTCAGGGCCTAGTCCGAGTGCAGCGGCCCCCAGTCCCTCCCTGCGCCCTCCCTGGGGTTCCATCCCACACCCTGGCCGAAGGGCAAGATGAAACAGAGGCAGCAGTGCACTCGGGAATCCTGGATGTTCTTCCCATTCAAGCTGCTCTCATCCCGGCGATACTGCTCAAATTGTTCCTCAATGAAGCGAACCTCTGGCAACCAGCTAGGGCATGGGGAGAGGCCATGGTTGGAGAGTGGAGGCCACAGGGTGGAGAGGGGTACAAGGCTAGCCAGGGCCATGGGAGCCAGAAGTAGTTCCTTTGGCTCCAAAGACATGGAGGGAAAGCGATGGGAACACAGGTGTCATAAAGCACATTTTGGGTCAGGTGGCTTCCGACTGGCTCCTTTGGGTCAGGGAGCGGGGACAGCCCAGCCCTGCGACAGCCCGAGGCACACACAGCAAGGCCTCGAGGTGCTCAGGTTCCTTCCCATCCTCCTCACCAGTCTGCGCAGTCCGCAGCGTCCCCAAAGCCGGGCGTGTCCGCCAAGGTCAGCTTCACCTTCATTCCCTCTATCTCCGCACCGTGCTGCTCGACAGTCAGCGGTCAGCGTTTGAGTCCAGTGAGCTATGGGGAGGGGGAGAGGGAGAGGTCGGGAAGCCCACGGGGCTAAGGCAGGACAGTTTCTTTTCCCAGTATGGCAGTTGCCCCCACCCATTCTTCTGGGGAGGAAGCGTCCTCAAGAAAACAGTGGCCCCTGGGTTCCTAGAGAGAAAGGAAATGGGTGGAGTGCAGCTGGGGCCAGGACATGGCTGGGGGCGCAGCCCCTGAGAGGGCAGAGCACTCACCGCTGGGCCCTGGCACCTGTCGGTCCTCACAGAGGCTGTTGAGGGTGGATTTTCCCAGCCCTGCCTCCCCTGTGGCCAGGACAGGCCAGGTGAGGGGACAGCCAGCGTCTCCTGGGACACCCCTACTCCCGCCCCTCCCAAAGCCCCCTGACCTGCCACCGTGAGTGTGAAGTCAAACACTTTCTTGACAGACCTGTGGTGCAGCTGGTGGGGGAGGGCCTCGAAACCCAGGAAACCACATATTCCTTGTCCTGCTGGCGGGGTAAGGGGACCTCGTGAGGCTCCAGGGCGTGGCAGGCAATGCTTCTCATCGCCTGAGTCTGAGAGCAAGGACCCCAACTTCTGGTCAGCCTGGGCCAGGGACCTTGAGGGAAGTGGGCTGGGGCTGAGATGTGGGGTTCCTGGCCATAGGACTTACCATAGCCCTGGGAGTGCCTGCTGCACCTGTGGTCACTGCTCACTTCCTCTGGCAGGGCAGGAGGTTGAATTCAGCAAACAAGGCGCAGGCAGTGGCAGGCTGAGATGCTCGAACTGTGGAAGCCACACCAAGACTATCTGGGGCTCCTGCCTCCCAGACAGCTTGCCCGTCACCCCCTGTTGGCAGCTTCAACCCCTCCACACTCCACATAACTTTATTTCAGGTCCCCAAGTGGCCCTGTCACCATGGTGGGAGGTGGGATAGGGCCAGAGAGGAAGCAAGCCTACTGCTATCTTTAGCAGGTGTGACAAAAGCTTTACCAATATGGTAAAAAAGTTCCCGGGGTCTGGGTGGACCCAAAGCCATAATAGGATTCTAGGCAGGAAAAACTGCTAATTTTCCAGGTTATGCAATGGATTTTTTTTTCCTGTGCGGGGTCCACTGCTTTTCTGGGATTTCAGGCATTCGCCACCACACTCACCCCCATTTTCCTTTTTTTTTTTTTTGGTTCTGGAGATCAACCTCAGGGCCTTGCGCGTGTGAGGCAGGCGTGGCACCACTGAGCTAAATCCCTGGCAACCCCCATTTTCTTTCTCCATTTGTTTTGGTTTTATTATTTTCGTTTAGCTTCTGCTGTGGACTGAATCGTCGTCCCCTACCCCCCACATTCAATGTGTTGCAGCTCTAATCCCCAGTGTGACTGTAGGAGACAGGGCCTTTAAGGAGGTAACTAAGGTTAAATAAATGTGTTGCCCTAATCCAATAGGACTAGTGTCACTCTAAGAAAAAGAAGCTTGCCCTGGTAGTGCACACTGTGATCCCAGCACTCAGGGGGGCTGAGGCAGGAGGATCACAAGTTCAAGCCCATACTGGGCAACTTAGTGACTTAGCAAGACCTTGTCCCAAAATAAAAAGAAGAAAAAGGCCCAGGGATGTAGTTCAGTGAGAAGGCCCTGGATTCAACCCCTAGTACTGCCAGAAAGAAGGAAAGCAAGCAAGCAAGCAAGCAAGCAAGCAAGCAGAAACATAGGGGCACCATCCATGCGTGCACGCGCACTTCTGTGCAGACAGGGCCCAGGGAGAGCACAGCAGCAAGAGCACCTCTGCAATCCCCAAAGCCCAGTCATTGGGCCCCACCTGCTGGCACCGGATCTCCCATCTATCATTCTTCGACAGCCCGAGAGGTGAGCCACCGCCACAAGGCCATTATTCTCTCTCTCTCTCATTCTCCTTCCTTCCTTCTCAGAACTGAGGACCAAACCCAGGGGTACTTTACCATGTAACTCTATCATTGAGTTACATCCCTACTCCTTTCTATTTTTTATTTTGAGATGATCTCTCTAAATTGCCCAGGCTACCTTCAAACTTGGGGTACTCCTACTTCAGCTTCCCAAGAAGCTAGGACTACAGGTGCATGCACTGCCTGCCTGCCTCACAAGTGCAAGGTCCTGAATTCAATCCCCAGTACCAAAAAAAAAAAAAAAATCAAAGTAAATGGTCTCAATTCATCAATCAAAAGAA